GTTACCTAAAGTAGGACTCCAGTGTCCACTGAGTTGTAAAAGTACAGAAATGGAATTATTACTTTTCATTTCACATACATGAATTCCTAACTTTATGGCATTTTTTTCTTTGTAATTTTGGTAGGATTCTTCATTGTTTTTACAAGACTGACTTCCTCCAACCAGTGGGAACAAGTAAGAGCCAGTGTTACGATTGAACTTTCCATAGAACTTAAGGGAATCAAGAGAGGTCAAAGAAGAGATTGAAAACTGGCAACTATATCTGGCCTGTGGGCCTATTTTCTTGGTTGACTAAAATAGTTTGAATTTGATGCTAGTATTCCTAAAACTAGAAATGCACATGAAAATTAGTAACTTTTAAATTATTTTAAAATCTAGTAGTAGTTGAACTGATCCACCTTTGTGCCTGGTACCTACTAAGTGGGGAGCTCAGGAGAAGAGTCTCTAAGAACATAGCCATTCTCTTGGTCTCCAATTGGCTGATGTTCCCTCTGGTTGGTCCACTTGCTTCTTAATGTGCTCATATTTCCCTGTAAGCCCTTGATTTTGTAGCTCCAGCTAAAGGAAGAATTGACAAAAAAAAAAAGTATTCACTATTTTGCCTACTAACTGGATGGTAAATGAGTGGCAAGAGGCTTTCCCTTGAGGATTTTATAATCTATGAGGCAGACAGGGAGGGCCCCTTACAAATATTTGCAGCGAAGTACTTGTAGAGGCTGCTTCTGGATATCAAGCTAGATGAACATCATATAAAAGGTCTGAGAGAGAGGAGAAGAATCTGTGCCTACTGATAGATTCTTGAAAATCACTTCAGTCCAGTACAAGTTTTTCTGAAATGCTAAGGTATTGATATGAGCTTTGTAGTTTATGTTTTAAGTTGTAGTCTACTTTGCCATGATTTGCTTCCAGTTCTCTTGGGTCCTGTCAACAGTCTGCCTGGTAAGATCTTAAAGCTGATGTACATGGAATTTAAACTTTATTCTAAACAAGGAATGTACATGTAAAACAAATGTCAGAAACATTTAAAGATTAAGTACAAATAAGTATATGAAAGCCACAGGTACTATGAATTAGCACTTTTTAAAGGAAAGTAGGGAAGGAAATTGTGTATCCTACATAAGACATAAGAAGCTAAGCGCTGGTGGCTCATACCTGTAGTCCTAGCTATTCAGGAGACTGAGATCTGAGGATCAAGGTTCAAAGCCAGCTTGGGTAGCAAAGTCCATGAGACTTTATTTCCAATTAACCACCAAAAAGCCAGAAGTGGAGCTGTGGCTCAAGTAGTAGAATACTAACCTTGAGAGAAAAAGCTCAGGGATAGCTCACAGACTGTGTTCAAGCCCAAGGACCCACCCCTACCCTCTCAAAAAATAAACTCACTTAGAATTAAGTGGTATCATAGGAACTATATGACTTTATGTTTTCCTATTTGATGGCTAAGGAATGTTTTCTGGCTACTCTTGCCACTTTAATTTTTGTTAAATGCAGTACCCATCCAAAAATAAAACAATGAAAAATAGGGAACCTAATTTATGTAATATTTAATCCAACAATGCATTGGGTGTGGCAGCAACATATTTAGCATGCTTAAGGAAATTTATTGAGGTTTATATTTTAAATAACAAAAGCAAATGGATGTAATCTGAAAGAAGTTTAATAAAAATATGTAATCCACCAATTGGACTGGTGATACTTTGTTTTGTAACTGTACACTCCTTTGTTTTCCATTGTATCACTGAGTCTGGGGATAGTATCTATTCTAAAAGTTGACTTTGCTATAGCTTTATGGTACAAATCAGGCAAGTTACCATTGCTACAAAAAAGACCTGAATTAAAATTTCTGAAATGGGGCATTCTGCATGTTTGAATTCTTTCCCTTTCCTCCTGTTTTGTAATTGCTACCCTTGAGCTGATCTCATTTCATATGTGCATGTTGATGTGTCATTTATAATGAACACTTGGTCCCAAACCCAGTTTCTGTTCATTTTTGTAAAAATTTCAGTTTCTTGTGGAAAAGTATTTAGACCTGTTTCATTACAGAATTAAAAAAAAAAAAAACATTTTTAGGGTATTAATGAGCTGTAACATTTCTGTCAGCCATTCACTTGTGTATGAAACAAAAATTATAGAATCAGAGGTTAGTAACTTAGTGCTTAGCATCTAGAATGTCTAGCACAATTCCCTTTTAACATTCTGGGGTATATTCGGACCTGCCACAGGTTTGCTTTTGAAATGTCTAGATTAAATCTCAGCAGCTCTTAAATGCTCCCATAAGTTCAATATGTCTAGTTTAAATTCACAAATAACCAAACACAGCTGCAATCCAAAGTAGGAGAATCACAAGTTAGAGGCCAGCCTGGGCTATATAGCAAGAGCCCATCTCAAAAATTCAAGACAGAAAACACATTGGTTGTGCCATTTTTTTGTGATGCTTGGGGTTGAATCCAGGGCTATGCCTTTCATTTGCTTCACTACTGATCTGTAGGCTCTTCCCTCTTCCCTGGCTATACCAGCTATACTTGATGCTGTTTTTCTTGTTTTGTCAGTAAGGACTGTGTGGTTAAACCATAGAAGTAGGCCATGCTTTTGCAGTTCCCATTTAATAGTAATATTAATTGGCTTTGTGAAAAATAAGTCTATCTCTAGTCAGTCAGTAGTTAAAACATTCATAGATACCGGGTAAAACAGGCCCCCAGTAATTTTCACCCCAAGATTTCTTTCAACCACCTAAAGTTTTGTATAGCACACAAACTTAGTGTGGCTGCAGGCTGGGCTAATCCCAATGTATCTGTTATGCTGGCACATTGTTTCTTAGATAAGGACCAAGTTTTTGTTTTCTTTTGTTAATATTTGTGTATTTTGTTAAACTGTGCAGGTGCAGCATTTAAGACCTTTGTTTCATATAAAAATATTAAAGCCTGGTGCCAGTGGCTCACGCATGTAATCCTAGCTACTCAGGAGTCTGAGATCTAAGGATTGCAGTTTGAAGTCAGCCTAGGCAGGAAACTGTGAGACTCTCCAATAAATTACTCAAAAAAAGCTGGAAGTGGACTGTGGCTCAAGTGGTAGAGCGCTCCTCTTGAGCAAAAGTAGCTCAGGGACAGTGCCCATGCACAGTTCAAGCTCCAGGACTGGCCCCTTTCTCACCCTCACTCCTCCCAAATTACCTGAAATTCAGCTCAATAGTGGTGCCTTACACCTGTTTTTTAAAAAAAAATAAAATCCTTATCAGGAGTACGAGCTGTGATCTAGGTTTCTGGCCAGCCTAGGCCAGAAAGCTGGGTGCGGTGAAATAGGATTGCAGGCAGAACCTATTCAAAATAGTAATAACTAAAGTAATACTGGCTGGAAGCATGGCTCAAGTTGTACAAAGTAGTAAAAAGACCAAGTTAAAATGTTGTTAAAGCATTAAAATCACAGAGAAACCCTTTAAACCCTTTGTTACGTCTCACTATATGGAAACAATTGTTTCATAAATTCTGCAACACATCTTTAATTGTATTTTGGTTGTGTAACTTGTCCATGTATTTCTGTTGACAAGATTGCTAGAGCTGCAAATGTTGGATGAAAAGGTTTTATATTTTTTTTAAATATAGTTAATAATTAATGCTCAATTACAAAGAGCTGTGTATTCATTTACACATTTTTTACTGGGATCACTTGATGTCTAATACTCCATTATGTAATGAAAGTTGCCCATTACCCTTCTGTTGCTCTGCATTTATTCCCATGGTTTATTGTATTTTATCTTGCTTTTTGTACATAAATCTGTCTCCACTTGTTAGATGCCCAACTAGCAATTATTTGGTCAAAAGTCATGTTTTTAGGGTTGGTACACATTGATAGCCAAATAAATGTGATTAAATATTTCAGTAATTTGGCTATGGAATAAAATTTCAGAAGAGGATTTTGTCTATGTTATGTCATAGTGCCCTTTGACAAGAAATGGGATGTCCACTGGCTAGTTAGTATAAAATTCACTTGTAATCCTAGTCTGGATGATCAGAAGTCCAAAGCCAGCCTAGCACCTCCAAGTTAACCAGCAATGAAGGCCCAGCTGGAGGCATTGCTCAAGTGGTAGAACATTGGCTGTAAGCAAACCAAGTTAAAACAGTATGGAGTGCAGTTAAGTCCCAGATCCAGCCCCAAAATATTTTTTAAGTGTAAGGTAGCAACTTTTGCTGCATAGCTCTGTATTACCTGATACATATTTGGAGATAGTATTGCATTTACATGAAATGATATAAAATCTTAAAAGAATTTTGGAAGTTTTGTATGTGAAGGTAAACATTAACGTAGTCCCCAGTGGTAGGCCATGAGTGAATGCTGATGTGTAGCTTCTGGTACACCTAAAATTTATGGGAATTTCACCTGTGGCAGAATAAACTACACAAACACTGTAACTAATAAATAAACTACACAAACACTGTAACTAACTTGTTAAAACATTAAGTCCAAGTTGTAGTTAAGCATATTAGTATTCTTGTGCAAAAATCTGCTTGAAGAGACCAGTAGAGAATCCTAAAGTTGTGGTGAGAAAACAAAGCTAAGTACGAAGCTGCTTCTTCCCAAAACAGTCCTTCCTTAACAAAACTGACATTAACTCAATGGAATTTGAATAGGTAAACAGCATGTGTTTGGAAATGTAATGGGGGTATTGTTCACTTTACTAGCCTTTCAAAACAACTGGTAACACAGGTGCCTACAACACAGCCCAACACCTTAGGTCCTTTTAACCCAGTAATCTCATGTTAAATGAAGTGCAGAAGTGTAGAGTGATGTGACCAGTGACAGACTCGTGAGGCTGGTTTTCATGTGGACAGTGGCTGTGGTTAGGTTGACCGGTTGAGCACTGTTATGAACCTATCCATATTGAGCAATACATTTTGCATTGGAATGTATGTGTGCATTTTTATGCATTTCAAAGTGAAAAAGCATGTCCCTTAATGCTAAAATGGTTTCTTTGCATTACAGATATATTTAAAAAAAACCCACAAAGATCATGTTCCAATTTTTATTTGATGTTTCAAATGTAAAAAAGAAAAGTCAAGATTCTTACACCAGTTAGAATGAGACCATCTCAAAATGAGACCATGCAAAATAATTCAGAATGTGTGTACAACATTTCTCCCCTTGTTTTGCTGCCATATACAGTGAATAGTACAACAGGAAATTGGCTGGCATGTGCTTGCTTGAGAAATCCCATCTCTTTACAACAAGAACATAAGGGGCAGAAGTCAATTTACCTTCCTGTTTATTTTATGAGGGATATGGAACTGAGAAATTCAGCTGCCCAGTTTCATCCAACCAACCCACAAATAAGCACAACTGTTGGTCTCATCTGCTAACTCTGGAGGACTGAGATAGACATTGCTATCTTGAACAGATTCATCTACCTAGCCTGAGAATGTCAGCTTTTAATAGAATTTTCCTTGGAGCTCTTGTGGAATCTTTGTGAGCTGCATAGACTAAAGATGTGGTTTTCTAAATAGTACTAGAGAAAATCCTGACTCAAGTGGCACTGTTTGTCCAAATTTCTGACCAAAGAAAACTATACAATATTTATAGACTAACTTTTAGAGATGGTTCACTAATACTGTACATATTTTACATGACAATACACAGTCCGAGAGTTTATAAAATAAGTCCATGCATTATTACCTCTAAGAATATCATGTACAAGATAAATCCCTCCCTAAGTATGTGTGACAGCATTTCGGGTTGAAGCAATCTTATTTACAAAAGCAATCCAGTTTCTCTGTTGTTAGGTATGTAATTTAAAGAAACTTGAGATTAGAGAAAAATCTTAAATCCATTGGTAATTGATAGAAAGCATCAATTTGTGGGATTTAAAAGGTCTCCTTTAAAAAAAAAAAAAAAACCACAAACACCCAGAATATGTAAGCTCTGTACAAAGAAAAATACAAAAATCCTGGATGATCCAAGTTTATTACACTACATAATTCAGAGTGAAACATTATTGGTTAGGTTTTTCTACTTTATTCATTTATTTGACAGCACTAATTTGTGAACTAATGTTTATGTTTAGTTCTGCTGCATTTATGGCACAAGATCTCCTTTTCAAAATGGCACCAATTTTCCTTTAAGGACTATTTTTAGCAGCAATCATATTTAAAGGTTAACAACTTACAGGGCAAATGCTTTAGCTATACCTTTTCTATTTCATACTTGCCAGTTACAGTATTTACAAAAGGCTAACAATGTCTACATAAAAATGACCTTTCACTCTTCCTCATCCATATCTTAGTCAAAGGCTTTTTCCTTCCCCTTGTTTTTGATCCCATTGGAGAAGAGCATGAGATTCAGTTCAGGGACGTAGGTATTTACATGGGGCGCCTGATTTTAAGGGAGTATAAGACAAGTGTAAGATGAAGTAATTCTTAATTTGGGTATATTCCACTACCCCTAAAAGTTCTGTGACAGAGAGTACTTAATGACAACCTAGAAGAGAGAGACCCTTGATTTTCAGCCTGTAACAACTGAACGACTGGAAGGCCACTCGCTGTGATGCGGTCATCACTGACTGGCATTGAATGTTAGACTCCCAATTGTGTGATTATTGGTAAACATGGAAATTTAACTGAAGAGGTGGCACTAAACTAGAAAACTGAAAATTCATTTTAAGAAGAATTTACATTGAGGGAAATATGCACTGTATAAACGAGGAATTATAAAGAACTGGCAATTAACTGACCATGCTAAATGGAACTGGCAATTAACTGACCATGCTAAATGGATTCCATGAGTAAGTTTTCATGATAGGGTATACTTACTACATGCATTTTGCTTAAAAATATTTCCCTAAAACGTTAAGAGTTCCATTTCATGTTACACTACTATTGTAGTTCAGGGGAAATAGCTATACTATTAGGTTGGTATGATATAATACTAGTTGTGAACATCCAGCCAAAGGTGCTGGTAAATTCCTGAAAACAGCCAATCAAAAATCCTTTTTCAGTTATTGGACTATACAGAAATATCAAGCCTTAAATTTAGAAATTAAGAATGTGATCTTATGAAGTTTGGGGATGGATGTTTGTTTATGTCAGTGTAGCGAAGGCAACAATTTAGGGGGAAAATATACCTATAAGCAAATTGATCTGACAAACCAGACTGGTGTTAATGACAAAACTGAAAAAATTCTGTGAAAAACAGCAACCAAAATAACGGGTGGGGCACAGTTAAGGCATCTTAAAAAAAAAAAAAAAAGTCCCACATGGCTTTGGCTTCTTAAAATATTTTTACACTATTCTGTTTTAAAAGACTTGAAAGCATCTGAAATACATGCAAAACTGTCTGAAATCCCTGCACGGCAAATTCAGTTTGCGTCATTCAGATGTTTTCCAAAGAAAGTGAAGAAGCCTCTCCCCATGAGATCACATGTGGTAGAGAAGGCCTCCAAATTCTTTCTATCTTATACCGGGTGGCACCCCAGAAGTCTGTGCAGCAGTCACAAGCAAGGCATTATTATCTGGAAGGGAAGGGACTGTAGAGTTTCCATTGGTTGGGGAACAGCCAAGCTTTAGTTTTTCCAGATACTCTGCATGTACGGGTTTATGACACTGTAGAACTTTGATTGCATCTTCTACTTTGAACCACTCTCTCTTCCTTCCTAGAGAACAGTATGAAACTGGTTACTATAAAGTCAATTTTAAGAAGCTTTATCCAATCAACATTGTTCCCTTCACTAACCCACTACCCCCAAAGTAATGTTTTAAGAAATAAGAGGAAGAATTTCAAGGCAATAATCAATGTGCATATAGTTATTCCTTCTCTTAAAAAGCCACCAAAAGTAACTTAAGATGGAAATTGGCTCTAAGTAGATAGTCACTGAAGAGAATTCAGATAGCCAAAGAATTGGAAACTTACCTATATTAACAGAATCTTCCCAGTCTTCTAATATTTCAGTGACTGTAAGAACATAAACATATGTTCTGTGCTTTCGGTCTTGGTTCTGCTTGAATATAAAAAGAAAAGCATTTTAATTACAGCAGTTAGCAATCAAGTGTCTGAAATTTCAGAGGAAATAAATCAGTGTTGATTAGGATACTATGTCCCAATGCAGGCTAAGAAGTCTTAGACTCTAGCAAAATGAGTTTATATAAAACATTAAACCAGGACCAGGGGCCAGTGGATCACACATGTAATTCTAGCTACTCAGGAGGCTTTGAGCTGAGGATTGCAGTTTGAAGCCAGCCTGGACAAGAAAGTATCTGACTCTTATCTCAAACTCCAAAAAGGAAAAAAAAAAAAAAAAGGCAGGAAGTGCACTTATGGCTCAAATGGCTGTGCTAGCCTCAGGGACAGCTCCCAAGGCCCTGACTGAATTCAAGCTCAGGCATCTACATCAAAACAAACAAGCCAGTAGAAAATAGGCTAGGTGCCAGTGGCTTTTACCTGTAGTTTTAGCCACTATTCAGGGGGGTGAAATCTGAGGATCAAAGTTCAAAGCCAGTCCAGGTAGTAAAGTCAGACTTTTATCCAATTAACCACCAAAACCTTTGGGTGGATGTGTGGCTCAACAACAAGCAAGAGGCTCCAACACTGGCATTAAACACACACACAATTATGCAATGTAAGAGAACTGACCTAATTATAATTTTTCAATATATGGAAATATGCCCCCCACAAAGGCATTTTTAAGGCAATTAAAATTTTCTTCCAGGGGGCTGGGAAGGTGGCTCAGTGGTAGAGCGCTTGCCTTGCATGCATGAGGCCCTGGGTTCCATTCCTCAGCACCACATAAGCAGAAAAAGCCAGAAGTGGCACTGTGGCTCAAGTGGTAGAGCGCTAGCCTTGAGCTGAAGAGTTGAGGGACAGTACCCAGGCCCAGAGTTCAGGCCCCACGACCAGACCCCCCCCCCCCCCCCGAAAAAAAAGGAAAAAAAAATTTTTTTCTCGTACAAGAATGTGAATTTTCTTCAAAGACCCTGTGTGGATATTAAAAAAAAATACTTCACTTGTACCATGGCCTTTCAATCACAGAAAAAGGTGTGCTTTTCAGTTTAACCAGGAGATGGTGCTGTGGAACTGTTTAAAATAACTGCATTCTAGATTTCTGAATAACACTAAGAACTTTAATAATTACTATATTCTGGTAAACATCATCAATTCTACCAAGTACTGCACAAGTAGGATCTATATCTGAATTCCTAAGGTCTAAAAATAAGCTTGGGTCTAGAACCTGACTTTTGCTTGTACCCTTTTCATGTTGTATCAGCACTTTCAAATTCTCTCCCAAGAAATTCCATCTGGCCTCAGCATGAGATTATATAGAAATGAATTCTATCTTTTTAGCACCTGTTCTATGAAATTGCATTTGTATCTTCACAGATCCTTTAGGGATAGTGATGTATATATACTGTCAAGCAATGGAAAATGCTGTATTAACATGGTGTTACCTGAAAAAGCCCTAATCCTCATGACTAATTTGCTACTGGTAGTTTTGGAGAAATGAATGGTTCAGGAAGCTGCCACAGACTTAGCTAGTTAGGAAGGAATTGTGAAGTCTATTAGCAGTAAAATGAAGACTACTTTCATAACTCACCTCAAATATGCCCAGGAGTCTGCCTAATTTTCCTTTGACTCCAGCCTATTAAAAAAAAAGGTGAGATATATTTATTTTCTCGTAATAGTAAAAAATGACAAAATGCATGTTAGTACAATTCTAGGAACTTCTATGCTGATTTTAGCTCTATTTTTCCAGGTAGAAAAAAAAAGTTGTGTATATAAGTGAAATGCCAGCTATACTTGAAAATGCTGCATCAGACCACATTCTAGTGACCAGTCTTTGTACCATCTCTTCAGGGTTACCTCGCAAGTGCCTTCCTGTACAACAAAAAGCCTGCTTGTAAAGCCCCCAGTGTGTGTGAAAGGCATCTCACCTCCTCATAAACTTCCCTCACAGCAGCACCACCAGGCTCCTCCTCTGGCTCCATCCCTCCTCCTGGGACAATCCACTGGTCTGGGTAGCGACTGCTACTCACCAGCAGTACCTGCAAAACAGTAACCATGTTGTCTTGATGGCTTGAGAAACACTATGAATACAAGGAAAATTCCTAAATCTTTGTAAAGTTAGTAACTCGATTGTAGATTGTTAAATTTCATTGAAATGAGTAAGTGCACAAAAAGCAGCTGACAACGTGGAGCACACTGAAGTCAGAATCCAGCATTCACATTACCAATCATGCTGTTCCTAATGAAACTGTTTAAACTACCAGAGTCAAGTCCTAACACTTTCCAATAAAAGCAGAGGCTTGGTTTATTAGCCAGAATTACCTTACATACACTGAGGTTTGCGGTCATACCAGTTAATCCTTTAGCCATGGACTCTAGTCCATGTCTAAATAAGGACATATAGTCCAAATAAGGACATATGGATACTATAGGTAGATCACTTTGGCTTTGTCACTGATAAAATGTTAAGAGTACTTGGAAGATGACAAATGCTGTGAGGAAGGAAGAGGAAAATGCACAAAGAGCCAGTGACTGATTCATAGTAGAGAAAGGTATCCTTCAAATCCTATTCCTTATTGAATGAGCAAATGTCCTTCCATGTTGATGACAGCCTGTAAATTATTGCCTAGAACATGGCTGGCAAAGTCAGCCCCCACTGGTCTGGGACAGGTTTCTACATTTTTCAATTACATGGCATTCAATTTCAGTGTTCATAAACTATTAAGGTTCAGTAACTGGCAAAGCCATACTGCTGTGGCTTTTAACAGGATGTCTACAAGACCTCTGACCAAGAACCATATTAAGCCTGAAGTATATAAATACTTGAAATTTTCACTGCATTACCATAGGCATCCTAGATTTTAACTATTTAACAGCACCTCAATGTTACATACCCACCTTACAAATGATTATTGTAGGGCTGAGTGTGAAAAGTGGTAAAGCAAGCTGGGCGCTGGTGGCTCACGCCTATAATCCTAACTACTCAGGAGGCTGAGATCTGAGGATCGAGGTTCAAAGCCAGCCCGTGCAGGAAAGTCCGTGAGACTCTTATTTCCAGTGCCCAAGTCCAGAGTTCAAGCCCCACGACCAACAAAAGTGGTAAAGCCATTTACCCAGTAAAACTAGGCCTTTAAAATTCAGTCCCCAAGCTGGGCGCTAGTGGCTCACGCCTGTAATTCTAGCTGCTCAGGAGGCTGAGATCTTAGGATGGCAGTTCAAAGCCAGCCTGGGCAGGAAAGTCCATGAAATTCTTATCTCCAATTAACCACCAGAAAACTGGCTCAAAGTGGTAGAATGCTAGCCTTGAGCTGAAGAGCTGAGGGACAACACCCAGGCCCAGAGTTCAGGCCCCAAGACCGACCAAAAAAGAAAAAAAAAAAAATCAAATATTTATATGAAATTATCAGAAGTCTTAACCAACTTGAACAAAACTGCTTTTAAAAAATTACAGTAGTTTACTGCCTTTGAACAAACTTTAGATTAAAAAAACAAACATACACCTCCCCAGGTACTAGGTGGCTTCAGGCCTGTAATCCTAGCTACTCAGGAGGCTGAGATTTGAGGACTTAGCTTGGGCATGAAAGATCAAAGCCCAGGAGACTTATCTCCAATAACTACTAAAAAAAAAGGAAGTGGTGTTGTGGCTTCCTAGCCTTAAGCAAAAACAGCTCAGGTGCCCAAGCCTACAGTGCCCAAGCCTACAGTTCAAGCCCCAGGACTGACAAAAACAAAAACAAACAAAAAACCCAACAAACCCACTAAGTTTACAGTAATGGTTTTGGTGGGGTTTTTTTCTTATGGTCTTGGGGACTTGCACGTATTAGGCAAGTGCACTACCACTGAACTAGCTACATACCCACAGGTTAATCCCTGGTGTGGAGACTGATTCTAGACAGGTATGACAGCAGTTCTATCTCCCCAGCTCCTTTCCAGCAGAGCAGTTGCTGGACCTCTAGAATTCATAGGCAGCACAGGTTTCTCCTCCTGCCTTAGGCCAATTAAGTGGAACCCAACTTTCCTCAACTAGAGCTGCAGGCAGACTAGAGTTCAGCAATTCCTACCTTTCCTCCTAAAATCTCAAAAGGCTGAATTGGAAGCCAAAAACACCTATTAAGACACACAACTCTGTCAGTTAATAGGAAGTCAGTATCAAAAATCAGAAACTAAAAGAGCAAGAATTAAACAAATCCAGCAGTACTGGAGGACAAAGCCTGCACATGATCCACAATAATGGGCTGTAAGTGACCTTTCAGTTCATCAGCTTCCTTGTCTATAACGAGAAATAACTGTCCTTACAAGAGTAAATACCTCAGGATCCTGGCTTAGGCAGTCACTCACTACTGGCCATTAACAGCTCTGTTCTCCCAAGGAGTTTCAAAATCATCCATACTCAAAATGTGAGTTCTAAAAAAATTAAATTCTAAGGGTTACTGAGGTCAGTACTTATGTCCCAATTCCTAAAGACAGTCTTTAAGAGCCAAATTACATTAAGGTTAATGATGTTGGAAAGTATTAGTGTAATCTGTAACATTCAGGCCTCAGATTTAAAACCAAATCTTTATTAGGACATCAACAAATGATTAAAGTTTTCTTCCAAAAGTCAGTAAGAAAACACCTCTGTATTGTTCAACATCTTCCTTTCATTAAGTTACAGAAAGCCCCAGTAGATTTTTTTTAGATGGTAACGGGCTATTTCAATAATTTATCATTAAAAATAAATATGGTGGGGTAACTCACACCTGTAATCCTAGCTATACTTAGGAGGCTGAGATCTGAGGACTGAGTGAGATTTAAAGCCAGTTCCAGAAGGAAAAGTCCATGAGACTCATCTCCACTTAACTACCAAAAAGCTGAAAGTACAGCTGTGGCTCAAATGGTAAAGCACTAGCTGTGACTGAAAAAGCTCGGGGACAGCATCCAGGCCCTGAGTACAAGCCCCAGAATGGGCAACAAAAAGCTCAAAGCTATCTTAAAAACCCTTTATTAATTAAAATACCATTTGTCACAGAGAAAAAGATTAACATCTAAAATAGCTTAAGAAGACTTGTTAGTATTTATCATTTGGTGATGATAGATTTAACAAACCTGCAACTGGAATATTTATATTCTCTTTACCACTAAATGCAGTGTCCTGAACCCTGCAGCTTTCAGACTTTCTCAGGCCTTTTGAAGCTCTACAGCTGAATGTTAACCAGAATTGCCATCACCATCATATGACCACTTAAATTAAGAGAAATAAAAGGCCAGTTCCACTTAGTTATATTTCAAGAACTACATATTGGATGACATAGACCCGTAGCATCTTAAATGCACTTTCCTTTCAAATGAAGCAAAATGTAATCTTCAAACAATTTAAGATTCTTAATAGAAAGCAAGAATAATGAAAATGGGCTAGCTAGCAAAAAGAAAAACCCATTCACAAGACATCCCAAGTAAAACTTCTGCTTTACAATCTTCGGATAAAAAATAATCTACTCTACCCTCTGTCTAACAATAATTCAGCATCGTTTCTCCAACTTTAGCACTGATTTTGCTTTCTATGTCCTCATTATGATACTGAACAAGGTGTTTTTCCTCAAAGCACTCCTATCATTGGAGATGGGGTAGAGGAATAAAGTGATGGAAAATACTAATAGAACTCTCTAAATCTATACTAACAAGAGACCTATACATATCTTGGATATGTGATACAGCCTAAGCCAATAACTTAAGTGTTCAAGAGTCTTTTGATATTCCAAACTTTGACTAAATCATTGAATTCAAACCTATCTTTCCAAAACGAAGATCCATGCTAGAGAAATGAGTATGGTGTGTGCACTATTAGCTTAAGAAATGAGGTTTGATACCAATTCTACAAGGCAGATGAGAAACAGTCCAAGTCAGTAAATGCATCTACACATCTTGCATGTCCAGAATTTTAATTTGAGGCAGTTCAAGGCACAGTAAGGCAACTGTTCTATTCCCTGAGGTCTGTCACAGGCATTTAGAACACACACACAGGGGCTGGGAAGGTGGCTCAGTGGTAGAGCGCTTGCCTTGCATGCCTGAGGCCCTGGGTTCGATTCCTCAGCACCACATAAGCAGGGAAAAAAAAAAAAGCCGGGAGTGGCGCTGTGGCTCAAGTGGTAGAGTGCTAGCCTTGAGCTGAAGAGCTGAGGGACAGCGCCCAGGCCCAGAGTTCAAGCCCACAACCGGCCCCCCTCCACCCCCAAAAAAAGACACACATACCATCCTTAGCACTGACGAAAAAACTTGACATCATCCTTAAAAGGTGTGTATATTGTAATTAGGTGGTTAACAGGACAAATGACTGTTTTTAGGCAGGTTGAGATGAACATGCACACACATGAATCTCAGTATTTTTTCATTTTTTTTTTTGCCAGTCCTAGGGCTTGAACTCAGGGCCTGGGCACTGTCCCTAAGCTTCTTTTGCTCAAGGCTAGCACTCTTAACACCTGAGCCACAGTGCCACTTCCAGCTTTTTCTCTTTATGTGGTACTGAGGGATCAAACCCAGGCTTCATGCATGTTAGGCAAGCACTCTACCACAAAGCCACATTTCTAGCCCTGAATCTCAGTATTTTCAAGGAACCATAAAATTATACCTGGTCTGTTTCATAATACTGTTGTAAGAATATGAGTATAAATATGGAGGCCAAGTTTATGCTTATACCCCATTTTAGAGTAAGACCATTTCTTTCTACAAAAGGCTTTGAAAATTAAAAAGCCCAGGATTATAAAAGCATTTTGGGAGGGACACTAGTAATCCTAGCTACTTAGGAGGCTCAGATACAAGGATTGTGGTTCAAAGGGAGCCTAAACAGGAAAATCCAGGTGACTCCAGTTACTTACCAAAAAAGCTGCAGCAGAGCTGTGGTATAGCACTAGCTTGAGCACAAAAACTCAGGGATTAACACCAAGGCCCTGAGTTCAAGCCCTAGGACAGGGGAGAGAGAGAGAGAGAGAGAGAGAGGCACCAGTGGCTAAGCCTGTAATCCTAGGGTACTAAGGAGGCTGAGATCTGAGGGTCACAGTTCAAA